GACTAAGGGTGTAAATAGCTTCATGACTGGCAGTTTGGGAAACCAAGCAGCAGAGGCACAGGGCAGTAGCGACTGTCCAGTGTGACAGAGTGACTCAATGTCAGGCTCAGATTTTCAATTCCCTTCTCACATTCCTAGCCACTGCTCTTCCTTTACACAATTAAAACACTTAAGCCAGTTTGATTATAGAGGGCCCTATCCATCAGTAATTATTGAAAATAATTTCAGGGACTTTCCAAGACCCTTCAAAAGGGAGGACAGTTTCTTCAATAAATGGTGTTGGAAATACTGGATGTCCACATGCAAAAGAATGAAGCTGGACCCTTACTCCCTATTCCATATACAAAAATTAATTCCACATGGATGAAAAACACAAATGTTAAGATGTAAAAGTAAACCTCTTAAAAGAAAATACAGGGGGAAAGCGCGTATACATTGGATTTGGCAATGATTTCTTGGAAATGACACCAAAAGCAAAGGCAGCAAAACATAAACAGGAATACATCAAAAATAAACATCAACAGGTCAATCAACAGAGTAAAAAGCAACACATGGAAGGGGAGAAAATATCTGCAAATTGCACATCTGGTAAGAGGGTAATATCCAGAATATTTAAAGAACTCCCACAAATCAACATGAAAAAGCAACAATTAAAAAATAAGCAAAGGACTTGAACAGACATTTCTCCAAAACCAATATACAAATGTCCACCCAGCATATAAAGAGATGTACAATATAAATAATATTAAATAATTAGGTAAATGCAAATAAACCAATGAAATAACATCTCAAATCCATTAAAAGGGCTAACATTAGAAAAAAGGAAAATAGTGTTATCAAGGATGTGGAGAAACTGAAATCCTTGTGCACTACTGGTGGGAACGGTAAATAGTGCAACCTTCATGTAGAACAATATGGCTTTTTCTTAAATTTTTAAAAAACAGAATTATCAAACACTCTAGCAACTCTACTTCAGGGTGTAAAGAACTGAAAGCAGGATCTCAAGAGACACTTGCACACCATGTTCACAGCAGCATTACTCACAATGGTCAAAAGGTGGAAGCAGCCAAAGTGTTCATCACTAATGGACAGGCAAAATGTGGCATACACAGAAAAAACTCCTTAAATGTGGTATATATATACAATAGAATATTATTTAGTAATAAAAAAAATGATACCCTGATACCTGCTACAATGTGGAATACTCTATGATTCCATTTACAGGAGATATCTCTAGAGCAGTCAAATTTAAAGGAACAGAAAGTAGAATGGTGCTCTTCTTTGACTGCCAGTGGCTGGGGTTAGGGGGAAATAAGGAGTTATTGTTTTGAAAGGAGTTTCAGTTTTGAAAGATGGAAATGTTCTGGAGACTGGCTGCACAATAACCTGTACACTACTAAACTATTCATTTAAAAATAGTTAGGATGGTATATGTGCTATTACATGTTTAAATTTAAAAAGTAGGGGAAAAAAAGGTTCAGGGACTTCAGCACAGGATGTTCAAAGATAATAATCCACTTTCTTTTGAAAAGATTATCTATAGGTCAATACCAAACTACTGTTTATACATTTCTTGGCAGCCTAAAGGAAACCAAAAACCCAAATGGGAATCAAGTTTTCATTACTTCACCTACAAGCGTTAAAAGAGAAGCCTTTATTACATACTACCCGAGAACTAAATGGGTACGCTTTGGTGAAGAGAAAAAAGCAGTATTACTAGAAATCTACCTGAATTATCTGGTTCATTCACAAATAGCTCTTTATGCTGAATAATAAAATTTGCTGCCATTATTCTCCAAGATTCACTCAATTTATCTTGTCTGAAAGCCACCATTTTTCAATGAGGTAAACACTTGGAATAGAAATGCCTCAAAAAAACACAAATTATATCTCCTTTTATGTTATTACTTAAGATTGTCTTCACCAAAGATATAGAGTAGAAGGTACCATTCTAAGTCCTAGAACAATTGAATCAGTACTAGTATATTGAGTAGCAGGAGTGTGGAATTCAGTCCAGTGACATAAATGATGAAGTGGAGATCAGAGTATTATTTAGCAGCTAAACCTAACTGGAATCTAACTTTAACAATGTTGAAAATATTGACAGAAAATAGAACAACTTGCTAAAGTATGAAAAATCAACCAATCTACATATGAAATTTTAATCAGATATACATGTCCAACAGATATTAAGGCAGGATCAAATTTTTAGTGGCTCTTAAAAAATCAGCATTATTTGAAACCCTGGTGAACACATGTAAAAAAAAAAATTTATCAGATTCAGCTGCAATGATAAGCAATTGACTAAGTTACTAAAATTTGTAAGACTGACTACACTTCATGAGTGTAGAAATATCAGCAAATGATCCTAATTGTCAAAATTATTTATAAGGACTTCAACATGCAAGGAATTTATTAGTGAGATATCCAACGTGCTTGAGAAAACATTCACGAAGAACCATTTTTTTCTCAGCCACTTTAACCTTGCTGATGCCCTGCAAGTTCTTAGGATACTAGCTAATAGCTCAAACATGTTTTATTTTTAAGTATGTTAATGAAACTTATGCAATAAATAGATATTAAAAACTCTTGGAATTGATTCTGGAAACCCGTACGTGCACGTATATGAGTGGGAGGAACGTGTGGAGGTATCTGCATAAATATGCAGATATATATAAACCCCATTTAAGTGTTTTACAAAAACTTTTTCAGAAGCTTATATAAAGGTTTTTAGATGCTTTACAAACTCAATATGCCCTTTCATCTAGCTCACCTTTTCTCATTTCCTTCAACTACTGAGATTATACAGAAGTATTTAGTACTATGGGCTCCACAGATCCTAGGACAGAGCATGAGAGGGGAAGTACTTATGTAGAAACACTCAGGTTACAGAAAACAGTTATTCCACAAAAAATAGGCAGACAATCTCACAAAGAAAACATATGAACTATTCACTATTAAATATATGAAACATTCAAAATTCTTGATCATTTGTCTTTTTTAACAAGAAAATATGTATTTAAATCAGCAAGAAAAAAACCTCATGATGAAAAATAGCTTCTGAAAAGACATTTTCTTCTAATTAAAAGACTACTCAATCGTCATTTTCATCTGGAAAATTATGGCTTCCAAAGTTACTTTAATGCTAGTATCATTTTTATGTGCCAACTCAGGATATTACTCCTTGCCTCTTCACTTATTTATCAAAATAACTAAAAGGCATAATCTCTACACCTTGTTGAATCAATAAATCCTGACATTCAAAAACATCCTCATCTCCAGGCTCTTCTCTTGGTGCAAGTGGTAAGAGCACAGCAGGACCACATTCAACCTCAAACTTTCGTGAACTTTAGAGACAAGAACTTAAGTGTTCCCTGGTGGAAGACGACAATTGTGAAAAAGAAAATACAGGTTTAAGTTACAAATGTCCTCTGTCTCTCCATGACAGTTTTTTCTAAGGAAACATCTAAGAAATATTTTTAATAGGAGGTATGAAGTAAATATGTCTAAAAGTCTTTCCCACTTACAAAATGTGATGCAGAAAAACAGAAAATTAATACTTCTGCTATACACTGACAATCTAACAACCAAATAAGTATACCTAATAATAAGGAAATAAGGATAACTGAGTAAGGGCAAGTTTCTTATCTGACTTTGAACTCAAAGTTTAGATCAAGACCTTAAGCACTAAGACTGCATAGTACTACAGATAACAAAGGAATCTGAAAGGGAAATAAAACCATTATTTTAAAGAAAGAAACTGAAAAGTTCATGGCAAATCTGCCTAAATTACTAATAGCTGAAACATAAAGCAGCATAGAAAGAAAAAACAAAGATTACTGTAAAGAAAATACACATTTACTAATTAAACAATGGAAGTACAATTCCATAAAAACAGAAACAAACTGACTCCAAGTTGAAATGTATACTTTAAAAACAACAGGACGACATTCAACCATTTCCAAAAATGTTCAGGCAGTGAATAGTTATCCCTAAGAACTGAAGTATAAACATTTCTAAAACAAGAAAACAATTCTGCTCCAATATAGAAAAGAAACCAAAAGCTGTAGTTGTGGGAAGAATTTCCCTGAAACTTGTGAAACTAATGAAAAGTGTGGCTCATGGAATTTGTGAAAATAAAATGTATACCAAAACGTGTCACTGTGGTTAATGGTGCTCTGCACAACACAGAAACTGTCATCCTTTACTTCCTCGGCCAGTTACCTCAAAAGTGCCATAATGGACCACCTTGCATTATCCCATAGTGAACCATCATGTGATTTAAACATCTTGTCTCATCTTCAGACAGCTAAGAGCAAGAGCATTAGAGGAACTGGGGGAATTCAGGGAGAAAGGATGGGTTCTTTCAAATTTTCCAACAGCCCCTTTTCCAAGGTTTGGGAGTTTAAAAACAAAATTCTGGACCTGCCATTTAATTCAAATGGTTTCAGAATTCTTCCTGCAGTGGCTTAATGGACACACTTCAAAAGCTGAGAAATCTTAATGTACTCAGCCAGTACACTGAAATTCTTTTTACCTTTCATAGTTGTTATACAACACGGTTAAACTAAGCCCTTTTACAATAAATAGAATAATTTCCTCTAACATTTTAAGATCATTTTAATTAACTAGTGTCTGTCAGTCATTGCAAAGGTTGCAGTTGCCAGTGGGTAGGCCATCACAGAAACAGTGTGGTGAAACAGGATGTTTTCCTTTTATTTCCTGAGTGAACTTTAAGGGATTAAAACTAAATTTATGTCAACTTTATAGCATTCAGATTCAAATTCTGAACCCAAATACATTTTAAGAAACAAAAAAAAAACTTGAGGGCTATAAAACCATATACAGTGTGGTCAGAATTCCACTTTTGTATTATGTGCATACTGTATTTTAATCTGCAATGTTTCATATTTGTATTTCACGGTATATAGCTTTTGGACTGGGCTGCTTGTCCACAGAAAGAAAAATCAACTGTGTTTCCACCTTAATATTCAACCTACCTGCCCATAGTTGTCTATGCCCGTTACTAATCTATTTAAATTTAATAAATCAAAAGCTGTCCTTAGGGATTGGCCAAGAGTCGTAAGTCCTTCAGCTTGAAGGTTTTTCAGTTCATTCATAAACGTTGCATGGTTTTCCTTCCATCCGGCCTGAAAAGAAAAATGTGAGAATTTCTTTTTTTCATCTTTTCAAGCCAGGTACACAGGGACGGCCGTTAACAATCTGCCGTTCACCAAGCGGCTGCTCGACTTTACTGTACGGTTTGGGGTAGTGTCAATGCTGTCTCTCTGCTAAGGAAACTCTCTTCCAGAGGTGGCCGAGAATAAACCTGCTGGCTCTACAGCTTTCCGTAGCTACCAGCCTTAATACTTCATAACTTCCCGGGGAGATGCACTCCCCAACCTCATGCCCAAAAATCCGGGGATGCAGAGGTAGTGGTGGAAAGCAGAAGTGAGCAGCACTTCCGAAGTTCACCCGAAGCTGTCCCACCGGCCCCGCGGCCCTATCGGGGAGAATCCGGAGACCCGACCCCGCTGCACCCCACCCTACCCACCCCCCCCGCCCCCCGGTAAGCCCCCAGCCCGCCGGCCCGCCCGGGCCTCGGGCCGATTCCCCTTTAATGCAAACCCGGGCTCTGCGCGGCCGGGCCCGGCTGTCACTCGGGCTAACTTGAATAAATATCCCCCACAGTTCATTGCTGCCGCTCACGCCGCGGAGGGGAAATGTCGGCCATGTTGATCGCCGCGCCGCCGCCGCCGCCGCCGCCGGGCCGGGCTGGGGAGGGGACGGCGGTGGCCCGGCGACTCCGCGCCGCGCCGGGACGCTCCGGAGCGGGGGGAGGGGGTGGGAGCCCGTAGGGGAAAAGACCTCAGCGCCTGGAGCACAGCGGGTGGGGGAGGGGAGCATAAGGAAGGGTGAATGGGGGGGGCGGGGAGGGCGAGAGAGGAAGGGACGCGGACGGGGACGGGGAGGGGGAGGGCGAGGGCTGTTACCTTGATAGCATAGGGCGGCTCTTCGAAAGTGACCAGCATATACCTGTCTCCTCGGCTGGCAGGGTCCCGGGCACGGAGCTGCGGGAGAACGGGGGAAAAACGGGAGCAGGAACAGGGCGGGCGAGAGGGAAGCACACAGGCGAGGTTAGCAGGCGGAGAAGGGGCGCCCAGCGGCCCCGCCGCCCCCCCCCCCCCCCCCCCAGTTACCGCACACGCCGCGGCCGCCTCCCCCCCCCCACCCGACACACACAAACACACACACCCCGGCCCCACAAACACACACACACCGCCCGGGGCCGGAGCCCGGGCCCTGGCCGAGCCCGGCTCGCAGCGCCCGGCCGCCCGCGCGGTGGGGGAGGGGGTCCCCGAGCCCGGCAGCTCCCGCAGTCAGGTCCCCGACACCTCCGCCTCGCCGCCCCCGGCCGCCCTCCCCCCAACCCCTGCCGCCCGCGGGCCCCCGGGCTGGGGTCGCCCCCCGGGCTCGGTCGGTCGGTACCTTCATGAAGGTCTCTACCGCGCCTTTGGCCGTGTCCAGGTAGGTGGTGCCCAGATGGCTGCGCTGGTTCATAGAGGCAGACGTGTCTATCAGGAACAGTAAGATGGGCATAGTGCTGGCCGGGGACACCGGGGCCCGAGGTGGTGGAGAAAGAGATGGAAGAGGTGGAGGCGCCGGTGGCGGCGGCGGCAACCGCCGCTAACGCGGGGCGGGGGAGCGCGGCCCCCGGGAGGAAAACACCGTCTGGGTCTTTCCTCCGGCTGCGGGGAGTTTCTCCCCCGATAGTTGAGAGGAAACTCCCCGGACCCAGTCCTCCCCGTCGTACCCCCGCCTCCTCCGCCTCCTCCTGCCTGCCTGCCCGCTAGGGCGGGCGCCCGGCCGTCTGTCTGTCGGTCCGTTCCCCCCCCGCCTCGGGGGTCCCGTCCCCGCTCCCGGCCCCTGTGTGTGTCCCAGCGGGAGACGGGCCTGGCTCCCTACCCCACCCCCGGCGCAGGGAGTGGGGACCTGGGAGCTGGCGAAGAGGGGAGTGGGCTAAGGGGAGATTGGCCCTGGGGCTGTTGGGAGAAGTTTCAGGGACTCCCTCCGCACCCCGGCGGTGTCACCACTTTCTCAGCCCCTCTCGCTACTGAAGCGCTTTTCTCTCTCACACTCCGGTTTTAACTCGGGCAGGGGCCGCAGAGGCTCCGCCCTCTGACACGTCCTCGGGCCACGTGACGCACCGCCCCGCTAGCCTATTGGCTGGCCCTTGGCCTCTTATTAGCATATTCAAACAGCTCAGGGGCGGGGGAAGCTTGGAGGCCGGCTCCGGGAACAGTTAGGGAGCACGCGCAGAGGCGGGGCGTCGGGTGCGCGCGAGGGGCGAGCAGGCGGGCTGGCCGACGCGGAGGCGGGCTCCGGGAAGGGGCGGGGACTGGCCACGGAAGGTCCGTGGGGCTGGGGCCGCGTCGGCGCGCCCAGGGCCGGCGCGGCTGTGAGTCTGCGCGTCAGACACGGCGGCCTTTCCTTGGCTGTCGGAGGTGGTAGGGGTCGGGGGAAGGGAAATGGTGGTTGGCCTCAGCTCCTCTTCTGAGGTCTCGGTAGCGAACCCCTTCCCTGTGGGCCAGTGAGGAGGAATGAGTAGCGTGATCAAAAGCCCGGGTAGGAGTCAGCTGCAGGCCCGCGGTCGCCCCCCAGAGGAGGGTTCCGGGCCGGCGGTCGTCGGAGGAGGTTCCTTGGCCCTAGGAGGGCCGGCCCCGGCGCGGGCGGGCCCGGGGCGGGGGAGGGGAAGTGATAGGTTGTTTATGACCAGGGACTAATCTCCGCGAGTCACACCGCTCCCGCTGGGGAGTGGGGACCAGGGGCAACCCTAGCCCGCAGCCGCGCTTGGCTCTGGGCAGCGACCGAGGGCGAGGGCTGGACTTGGCCAGTGCCCCTCTCGTTGCAGGAAACCACCAAAAAGCATACAAACCCCTTTTTCCCCCCTAACTCAGCCCTAAAAGGACAGTGAGGAAAGATTCAAATATCGATAAACTGTTTACTACCCTTTTTATACTGGGAGGGAAATAACCCGTCTTACCCAAAGAAGTAACCTCTGTCAAGCCATATTTACTTAGAACCATCGAATGTTAATTTTCAGAGCTAAAAGGGACCCTGGCAAATCATAATCCATTACTTTTTATTTAAACAAACTGACCTGGCTGCCCAGGTGACACATACGATTGGTTCTCCATAACCCTTCCAGTGCTCTTTCACACACACTGTATCAGGCTCGATCCAGATACTGCATGAGGGAAGACATTCTCGGTTAAAAACCAGCCCCTGTCATCAAGCCGGATGACATAATGAATCTTAAATGTCCGAGGAAAACTTTCCTCAAATATACTAGTCGACAGTTTGACTTAGGGACATACAACCCATATAAGACAAGACTCCCCTACTAGCCTTACATTTCTATCGTTTATTCTGAAATTCTTAATTATTTGCCTACTGGTCATTGAAAGAAATTGTTCTATTACTGTTAACATAAACCATGTTTTGTGGCACTTTTTTTACATTTTGAATTTTTTAACTTGGACTTTTACTAACATTTAAGATAGTCTCTGAACTTTTGTTATAGTAGGGCTAGTTCAGCAATACGCTGTTATGTGAGTAGGTTCCATAGAAGAGTAAAGTATTTTTAAGAGATTTAGACTACAAAATAAGGTGGAGTAGAGAGATTACATCCAGTATTTGCTAAGTGGAGTTAAAAATGATTATTGTCCCTGCCTTCAGAGAACTTAAGGTTTTTCTAGAAAAATATTGTCCATATATTATTAGCTACTACAGAACAGAAAGGGATTAGATACTAAATAATTCAGAAAAGAGAAATGTTATTTCCCCAGGGAAATAGGGTCAGTAAGTTTAAGTGGTCCCTTAAAGCAGTGTTTCTCAAAATGGAATCCTAGATCTGGAGATAAGAATTGAGTTAATTAAAAGATACTTTAAATTTTTTGTTTTTATTTTAATGACAATATTCAAATTGTTTTATAAGTTACAAAGACAAAAATTTTTTTTCAAAGTGATAATTTGCAACTGAAAGAACTCTTCATAGAATTTGTCCCCAGTTTTCTCTGTCAATGCTTTTCAAACTGTGGTCTGTGGACTCCTGCCTGTCAGAAAATGTATTCTCTAGAATCATAAGAATTTCTTTTACATTTCTCGGATTTGAGAAACACTGCTTACACTGCTTTAAAAGATTGATAGGATTTGAATATGTGGGTAAAGGAAAAGAAGCTTCTGGTGAAAATCCCTTCTAGACATTGAAAATGTAGTAAAGAAAGGAAGTTAGCACAGCACTGGCAGTGGCTTCTTGGGGAGCAATCAAGTTCAGCTTAGGCTGGAGCACCAGATACAGGAAGAACAGTATAAGATCCAGAAAGGTGGGTCAAGTCCAGAGGGTCTTTATTGCCAGGCGAGGAATTTTTTTTCCATATAAATTGGGGTTTTTAGTTAGTACAAAGTAGTTTGAAAGGAATCAAACTACAGTGAAGTAGATGAGCATGCGTTAACACTGACCTTAGCTATTACTGTTACTTGAAATCATTTCCAATGGAGCCAGCATGGTCTTTCTTCCCCAACTCCATGGAGTTGGTAGATGGTTGCACTAGGGTCATAAGTGGAGGTATAAGATAGACCTGGGATTAAACACAAAGATCAGGAGAGCCAAGTCCAAGGAGCCAACCTGCGGCATATAACCAGAAACTACCCTTAGAGTGGCACCTGAGATCAAAGACCAGGATTCCGGTTGAGAAGCCCAGAAGTATTGGATGGCAAAGCCCCGAGGCAAAACAGGAAAGAAATCAGGACATACATAGACAGCAAATCAAAAGGCCATCTGAAACCAGGAAGCATTGACGAGTAGTCCCTAGATAAAACTGTGAAGTAGGCCAAGTTTATTCTTAGTGACTCTGGTTGACAATTAAACTGTTAGTTGATGATGTCTTAAACCTGTGGTTCTGGGCCAGAAGATGTGCATCAGCTTTATCAATAGAGCTTAATAATGAAGGTTCCAAACCCCCAAGCCCAGAGGACAGTGATAACAGGAAAACTGTGATGAGCCTTCAACACCTCATTTTTTAAAAAGCTGTTCAGATGAATCTTAAATAACGCTGATTATTAACTATATGCCTAAATTATAAGAATAATGCATGTGTCTAGCCTCTAGTAGTAATCAGTAACTAAAAATTCACATAATCTTGGAGTTATTACCTTACCTAAAACTCCTAAAATAGATCTGCAAACTAAAGGGGGAAAAAAAAAAACTATAAATGTGGCACCAATATAGACAACAGCGAATTTCATCATATGTTTATTTAAATTGTTTGAATTCAACTATGTTTGACAAAAATGTAAACTGAGAAAACAAAATAATGCCAGAGACTCCCACTGTTCCACTCTGTGAGCTTAGGCCTTGCAGGAAGCACAAGATGGGAAACATGAATCTCTTCTTCACCCAATCTCTGCGATTCTACAATGTGATTCCAGAAAGATTCTGGTTATATGTAGGCTTATATCTCTAAAACAACCCATCAAATGCAAGCCAACTATTTCATCAGAGTCACTGAAGAAACAGTGAGCTCTTGCAACGCTAGAGAGGAAACTAGTTGCAGTAGTATGTGCTAAACCCTGTCCTGGGGCAAGCTGGGAGATTAGGAAAAAATTTTCTGGGAGGACATTGGTTGGAAGAAGTATGTGGGAGAAAACATGCTCTTTGCTGCTGTTTTTAAAGGAATGCTGCCCAAATACTATGGCTCCTGATTTAAAAGGGAATAAATAAATTATACAAAACTCTCAAAGATTAGTGACTCTGGCTTAAACAATAGCCTAAATTGTTGAAATGGAGCTATTCTAACAGAATTAAGAACGACGAATTATAGTCATTTGAAGGAGCCAACCAGAGCCTTTTAAATTATTTTAAAACTAATTAAGCAGGGTAACACAGTTTAAAAATAATGATGTGCCAGTGACTTGGCTTATGGTATCTGGATGTGCCATCTGAGCAGAATAATCAGATGAACTTAAGTGTTCCTCATATGTAACCTAACAAAGTTTCTTTTCACTGTCTTACCATTCATTTCCTCAGCTCTCTGCTTTACTCTTTGAGACCACAGCAGTCGGTGATGTTGAGAGTTTGAGAATATCAGACAAACGACGAAGTAATAAGCAAAAAAACATCAGATGTGAAATTACGCAGCAGAAAGTATTTGAATAATACATATATAAGGAAATTTAATTTTGGTCATCCTAATTTATGATGTTATATAATACCAATTATATAATTATATAATATCAATCCTCAGGGGGGTGGAAAATGCTACTAGAGACTACTGTTAACAAGAGGGACTTCCCGGGTGGTCCACTGGCTAAGAATCCCAACTCCCAATGGAGGGGGCCCAGGTTCAGTCCCTGGTCAGGGAACTAGATCCCACATGCCACAACTAAGACCTGGCACAGCAAAATGAATAATAAATTAACTTTTTAAAAACGGAAATTAGACCGTTCCAACGAGCAGTATTTCACAGTAATAGTTGAAGTCTTAGGCAACTCAAGATGAGTATGGAAAATGAACATATCCAGAATGAGAATTAGAATCA